AGTACACCATCAGTCATACTCTCATCTTCTTCTTTAATCACCTCAGCTGGTCTTTCAGTTACCTTCAATTAATAATCATTATTATTGTTATTATTATTATTATTATTATTATTATTATTATTATTATTATTATTATTATTATTATTATTATTATTATTATTATTATTATTATTATTATTATTATTATTATTATTTTATGAAACCTGTTTGTGAGATCCTGATAGTTTCCTGGGTCTAAACTCATTCCCTTCTATAAGAGGCAGTACAGTAGCAGGTGCTCCAGTGAGAGAAATACCACCATTTGATAAAACTACACACACACACACACACACACAATAATCATCACAGTACTGTACTGTACTTACCTATGACGCAGTCGGTTTCCTGGAGGAACCTGATGTGGTGGGTACACAAGATCCTTGTCTTGTTTTTAAGGAGTCCGGTGATACAGTGGGTGTATAGGTGGGACGCTACGTGAGCATCTACAGCTGCTAATGGATCATCCAGCAGGTAGACATCTTTATCCTTAAAAAAATTGTAAATAAATATTATTAATGAATGGACTTTACTTGATAGACAGCTCTTGCTAGAGCCAGCCTTGCTTTTTGTCCACCGCTTAATGTCACTCCGTTCTCACCAACTTCAGTTTGATCACCAGCTGGTAATGACTTTAAATCCTGAGAGAGAGAGAGAGAGAGAGAGAGAGTAGATTGAGATATCAATTCTTACCTCTTCTAGTGCACAAGCATAAACTACAGCTGCATATCTATCAGGATCATAGGGCAGTCCAAACAGTATGTTCTCTTTGATGGTGGCATATTGTATCCATGACTCCTGGCTAGACAATCCAAACCCTTCGACCAAATCAGACACATAAATCTTTAGAGAACATGAGGAGAAACGGATAATAAAGAGCTAGAATTGACTGTCTTACTTTTCCTCTTATCTTCCTCATCTCTGCTGTAATGGCAGACAGGAGAGAAGACTTGCCCGATCCAACTTTACCAGTAACACCAACAAAAGATCCCTGCAGA